GCTGAGAAAGAAGTCAGAGAAACATCACCCTTTACAATAGCCACAAATAATATAAAATACCTTGGCATAACACTAACTAAACAACTGAAGGACCTTTTTGATAAGAACTTTAAATCTCTAAAGAAAGAAATTGAAGAAGATATCAGAAAATGGAAGGATCTCCCGTGCTCATGGATAGGTAGGATTAACATCGTAAAAATGGAGAGGAGAGGAGAGGAGAGGAGAGGAGAGTAGAGGAGAGGAGAGGAGAGGAGAGGAGAGGAGAGGAGAGAAGAGAAGAGAAGAGAAGAGAAGAGAAGGAAAAAAAAGGATTCCGCTAAACTGATTTTTTTCAGAAAATAGAAATCGCGTCTGCCTCCCGAGGCGCCATCAGGGGGCGCCCTTGTGCAAGGTGCTGGGCGCCGGGCGCCTTCTCTGGCTCCCGGGGTGAGTTCGGCCGTGGCCACCCCCACTCCCCGCCTCCACCTTTGGGGGTTACCTCCCCTCTCCTCCGTCCGGTTCACACGCCCACCCCCACTCCAGCGCGTGTCCCCGCTCCAAGGACTGTCTCCGCCGCCCAGCCCAGCCCAGCGCCCCTCCATCCCCCGCCCGGCCCAGACTCCTTCCACCCACGCAGCCCCATATGCTGGGAAGAGCCTCCCACTCCCCATCTGTCAAGCCGCTTCCTTACCCCCATTCCCCCGCTCCGCCGCCATCCCCTCCTCCGGGAAGCCCTTCCTGATTGACAGGACGGGGGGGGGGGGGACCAACATTGCGGGACACTCGCCTCCAGCCCCACTGTCCTAAGCCGAAGGCTATGCTGGGCGAAGGATGAGCTCAGCGTCTAGGTTTGGGGACGGATGCAGAAACTCTGTGAGCTTCGGATCATGGGAAAAAAAAAACTGCCAAGGTTCAGCAGCTAGCAGCACCCCCCCCCCCTTTTTTTTTTGTCCCGCCTCAGAGGCCAGGAGAATGGGGCGCAGGCCCCACCCCCCGCAGGTGCGGGATCGTGGGAGGAATGGGGACTCAGGGCCTGGGGAGCTGGGTGCGGAGGAACAGGGTCTGCTTTTCTCGCCTGAAGGACCTGGTTTCATTTCGCAGATTGATTATGGCTTCATGTGTGGATGTGTGCGCGCGCGCTCGCGCTCGCGCACGCGCGCGCTGGGCGTTGTTAGCGTTTTCTTAAATGTACCTTGCTTGTCTAATGAATGTTTGATTGCACCTACATCCGGAGGCTGTTTTAATGAAAGGTGAAGGCTCCTGGAGGGAAATAAATAAATAAAAGACCGTTCCCCATTCCCTCTGCACCTCCTTCTCCCACAACTCTCCGTCCCCAGCTGTCTTCTGAAGCCCGTGCCTCGCGGACGAATTCTGATCCTGTTTGAATGTTCTTGTGTAAAGGATGTTTCTCTCACGGGGAAATCAGCCGCCTCCATCGGTCAATCTCCGGGCTTTTATTAAGGGTGCGAAGGGGAGATGAATGGAGAGAGGGCTGAGGAGGAGGAGGGGGGCCCTTTCTCTCCCGCCAGCACGCTGGACTGCCGCTTTGTTCACTTGTTGACTTGTGGGTTCTGTGTCAGCCTTTGCCTACGGTCAAGCTCGAGTCGTCAGAGTGTGATCAGCAACCCACAACTGCATTCTGACTAGGAATTTGCTGAACTCGAGAAAGCTTCAGTTTCTTTACCTGTAAAATGGAGCCCATCATATTCATGTCGTGGATGGTTGGGTGCATTATGCAAAGTGCCATTAAGTGCAAAGTAAGTGCTCAGCCAAAGGGGCTGTAAATATCACCTATGGAGGGGACAAGGGTGACACACAGACCCCCGACACTGGTAGAGGCAGTGTGAGCTTGCCTTGAGAGGTGGAACGTCTGAGGTTCATCAGCCCGCAGGCCATTACCAGGGCCTGTGTGCCAGGCTCTGCTCTGTGCTCTGGATTCAGCTGTGAGAGCAAACAGAGATGGTCTCTGCGTTCCATATGTAGCCTGCCACCGGACCCTAATAGCTGAGACAGAGCAACAGAGTAGGACCACTTCAGAGCACAGGGAAAGGTGCCCCACGCCACCCCTGGCTTCTCAGAAGAAGGCGATTTCATCAGGCACAGAAGAGGCGTGTCTGGGTATTTCCTGCCAGAGGATGTTGAATTTAAGAGAGTGAAGTCATGGCTATTGTGGAACTACAAGGTCAGTCCCTGTGTGCTTAGAAAAACAGTTCTGGAGACAGTGTGGTGGTGTGTGTGTTTACCCCCAGCACTGGAAGGCAGAGGCAGGCAGATCTCTGAGTTTGAAGCTAGCCTGGTCTACATAGCAAGCTATAGAGTTGCCAGATCTCAACCTCCAAACCCCCCAAGACAAGGAAAAAAAAAAATCCTGGGTTCAAATCCTAAGTTTCCTATTTTCTGTCTCTGTGACCAGATGTAGTTATTTAGCTTTTCTGTGCCTTGCTTTCCTCTTCTGTTGAATGGGTATATTAATAACAAAAGGCTCATCACAACACTCCTTTCATTGGGGTTTTGTGGAGAATGAGAGAGCATTCACCAAGTGCTTAGTACAGGCTGGGCATAAGGTTAACATTTGAGAACTGCTAAATAGTATTAATAATACTCATTGGTCCTGGAAGATCATGGGCGGGGGAAGAGATCAGGAAGTACCTTATAATCCTAGGCAAAGGGTCTGGACCAACCTAAGCACAGTAGTGAACAGGGGAGCCATCAAGTCCTCAGCATCCTTGATGTCATCCCTGGTTCTTCACTTGACACCCAACCCCGGGCTCCTCAGCAGCCATTGTCAGCGCTGCTGTCATACCTCATCGTGCCCCTGACGGTTCCTTGCCACTTCCACAGTCAGCACCCTGGTCCCTGCTGGTCCCTGCTGTCACCATCTCTCTTCTGCCTGGCTGCGGTGGTCTCCTGGCTCGTCTCCCCTGCTGTCTGCTCTCCACACTGGAGGTGGACGGATCCTGCTAAAATGTGAGGTAGATCGCATCACTGTTCTGTCCAGGGACCTTACCTCTCACCCGGGGAGGGCATAGCCCACGTTTTCATGATGACCGGCAGACACTGAAGTGAGGCCCGTTACCGAATCTCATCCCTCCCTCTCTCTAAAAAAATAAATTACAACTATTTATTTATTCAGTGAGCTCATGTGAACACACCATGGCGTGCATGGAGAGCTCAGAGAGCAACTTGTGGGAGTTGGGACCTTGTGCTTCCTGGGGGTCCATCTCAAATTAGCAGGCTTGGTAGCAAGTGTCTGAAGGTGCTGACATGTTTCGCTGGCTCCCTTTTTGGTTTTTGGTCTTATTCTGTAGCTCAGGCTGGCCTAGACTTTGTAGCCTGAGCTAGCCTAGAACTAGATGGTAACCCCTCTACCTCAGCCAACCAAGTACTAGGATTACAGGTGGGTACCTATGCCTCACTCCCTCTTTTCTCATTCCTCCAGGCTTGCGGGTCTCTGCATCCCTCCTTCAGAGCGAGTTTGCAAAGCTCTGTTCTTTCTCAGGATCGCTGCCCGGTCCAGCCGCAGGTGTCAGTGAGAGGATGCTCCCTCACCTCTTCAGGCGGGGGCTCAGTAAGGCCTTCCTTCCCTCCCCTGTATAACAAGCCTACCTCCTGCTCTCTGGTTTCCTCCTTTTTAGTAGCAGTGACCACCATGGAACATGGCAAATTTGCTGGATTACTTACCACTGGTCCCTCCCCACCTCATCAGAGCGGAGCGCAAGCCTCAGGAAGACAATGGCTTTGTTTGTTTCATTGTTATACCCTTGTATCCAGGGCAGTGCCTGGCACACAGTAACCTCTCCATAGCCATGTGTTGAGTGAGTGGGCTGCATGAATTCGTGCCAGAGAAACACAAGCGGTACAGTGTACAGAATGGGTGGGGCCATGCTGAAGGCAGAGAGGGAGACCTTGACAAGCATCCAGGGCCGGGGCGTGCTCGACTCACATGGACCAAGGAGATATTGCTGGAGAGGGGTGAGCTGCCCGAGAAGTAATTCAGTCTGGTCTGCGTGGTTGGGAACCACTCGGCGGTGGAAGAAAGGATGAAGGATGGTGGGCATGAGTGATGCTTGTTTCCGGCGTCTTGGTGGTTGGTGGTGCCAATTACTGAGCTGGAAGGAGGAATGGGCTGGGGTGACTGTTACCGATCTCAGCGTCTCTCAGCCTTTGTTACTTCATCAGCAGAGTGGGGAGGTTGAGTCCTGCCACTGTCTGAGGTGATGATGAAGACAGAGAAGAAGATGAAGAAAACGGCAAGCCCTGTAGGGAGTACCTAGTTGGTTAGACAGGTGTTGATTTGGGGAGATCTGGCAGGTAGGTGAGATGCTGACCTGCAGTAGACTATAATAAGAGGCTGGCCCAGAAGGAAGGAAATGCCAGGGAAATTGCTTTGGTCCATATACGTAGGCGATAGGAGAGGGAGAGAACAATATGATATGAGGTGTCATGACTGTGTGGAGGCGGGACTTGGTTGATTCGGGAGTGAGAATTGGGAACCAGAGCGAAGGTTGAGGTTTAGCTAGAGGTTTTCAAGCAGAGAGACCACAGGGTAGCTTGAATCTAGGTGTGGGCTGTGGCGGCGGCGGGGGGATGGGGGTGGCATAGAGACACAGGGTGGATGATACTGACTGCCATAGACATCCTTCTCTGCCCCCACCTATCACATAAGAGAGACGTGGTGATGCTGAGCACGGACAAGACAGATCTGAGTAACCGGATGCAAAGCCTCAGGGCACAGCCACTGGGTGTCTTCCTCTCCATGTCACCCCCCCAGTTGTGCCTATGTTGGGGGTCAGGTAGAGTGGGATAGCAGAAATTCTGATGTTTCTATTTACTCGATTATTTTTGTAGTTCTAGAAATCATGCGTGCTTTGCCACTGAGCTGCAGCCCAGGCTTCCCTCTGCAGCTTCTGAGGCCTCTGGAAAGTGCTGGGCAGTGGACTTGCAGGCTTGTCCCCGCCCTCTGAGAGGTCAGGCTGTGGGGAGCAGAACCTTCCCTGGGTCCATTGCAAGCTGTGCCAGCACCCTTACTTTGCAGGGAGAGGCTTTCCAATGTCGATGTCCCTTGGTTTATAAGAGGTAGAACTGGGGCTTGAACCCACAGGGTTCGTGTCCAGAGCCCGGGTTTGTAACCACAGATTAATCTGACCAGGGTCGGAGAGTCTGATCCCAGGTTTACATATCAGAGGCTGTGGACACCTGGAGAGGTCACCAGAGAGAAGTGAGGTCCCTGAAAGTAAAATGGCTTTTAGAGGGAGCCAGCTGGTAGACACTGCCTCATTCATTTCTTCTTTCACTCATTCGTTATATATATATTGGTTTTTCGAGACAGGGTTTCTCTGTGTAGCTTTACACCTTTCCTGGAACTCACTTGGTAGCCCAGGCTGGCCTCGAACTCACAGAGATCCGCCTGCCTCTGCCTCCCAAGTGCTGGGATTAAAGGCGTAAGCCACCACCGCCCGGCTTGTTCGTTTTATATTAATAACATAATTATATATATAAAATATCGGTCTCCTGAGTTGAACACCTTTCATGTGCCAGACACTCCTAAGCTATTAGGCTACCGTAGGAACTAAGCAGCTTGAACTCCTGCCCTGGTGGAGCTTATGTTATACAGAAGAGACAAAAGAAGCAAGGTGTGTGTGTGTGTGTGTGTGTGTGTGTGTGTGTGTGTGTGTGTGTGTGTAACAATAAATATCAAGAAGGAAAAACAGGGAGTGATATGAAGTTGAGATTCCAAACAAGGTGGGGGGAAAGGCTTTCATGACAGGAGATGACTACCCTGTGGTCTCTCTGCTTGAAAACACAGGCAAGAGTCAGAGTATGCCAGGCCCTTCTGGTGGTAAACATATACGCATTTATCAGATGTAACTGTGCACATTGATAATCCTGGCATCCAGGAGGCTGAGGCCAGCCTGGGCTACACAATGAAACCTTGTCTCAAAAAGCCAAAATGAGGCTAATGATGTCGCTACACAGTGAAACCTAGCACACACCAGGCCTTGGCTTGGGTCCCCACAAATGTGGCTTGGTGGCAAATGCCTGCAGTCTCAGCCCCTTAGAAGGGGAGGCAGGAGAGTTATAGGTTCAAGGCTATCCTTTACTACTTATGAGTTCCAAGCTAGCCTGGGTTATACAAAACCCTGTCTCAAGGTATGCATTTCATAAATACATATTTATAGTTGGGCATGGTGGATTGTGCCTGTAAGGGAGGTTGAGGCAAAAGCCACAAGTTTGAGTCCGACCTCAACTGCATAGTGAGTTCAGGGCCAGCCAGGGGGAGACCCTGTCAAAAAATTTAAAAAATAGCCGGGCGGTGGTGGCGCACGCCTTTAATCCCAGCACT